TTGCTGCCCATTAGTAATTTACATCAGAACCAAAAGTGTCGAATCAGCAAGTGAAATATACTTTTGTTAAATGTCTTTATTATTATTATTAATAATAATTCATTACAAATTATTTAGATTGAGGCTTTTTTTAGATTGAGGCTTTTTTTGGTAACTCAGCAATGTAAAAACAACTTTAGACTTTGCAACAACCAAGTAATGTCATGCATATTTTTGCTCACACTTTGAAAAGTGAAATAACCATTCAGTATCTACTTCACTGACTTAGACATGCAATTGACTCCACTGACTTAATTAAACAGGTAATGTAATGAGGGCTATGCTTTATGCAACAACAAGAATACTAAAATTGACACATTTATCACTGCATATCACATAGGCTAAAGTATCACATTGATTATAAAAAATAGCAGTCAGTATCATGTTTTATCAATTGCATGTTTTGTACAGTTATATTGTGCATGTTATGTACAATTATGCATAACACACGGTCATGTAAATCTAGTTACGGTTTGAAGTTTCAGATTACCTGCAGTTCCCACCATGACCAGTAGATGTCACTAAAGACTTCTGGAACTCTCCATCCAGCTCTCTTCCTGATTACGTTCATCATTATTCCCTGATAAGAAGAATCAAAGGTTATGTTACAAAAAAAAAAAAAGATTAAGGCCTGGTTTCATAGACAGGTCTTAGATTAAGCCAAGACTAGGCCTTAGTTCAATTAGGACATTTAAATAGCTTTTTTTTAAATGTGCCTTAGAAAAAAATATAACTGATGTGCATTTTGATACAAAACAAAAGTTGCTTTCAGTTAAAACAGCTCAAACATGAATTTTAGTCTGGGACTAGGCTTAAGCCGGAGGTAACCAGGGGGTAATGGTTAGGTTAAAAACACCCAAACCAATGCTCCAAGCGTAAGGTCGGAGTTTAGTTGATATTTGGACTGATATTTTTGTTTTCCGCTTTCCAGACAGGTTACCAAACACTCCCCTGCTGCGTCCCAATTCAAAGGCTGCATCCATGGTGTCACTGCGGCGTGACAAAGCCTGTCCCAATTTCAAAGGCTCCTTAAACTGCGTCCTTCGTTTCCTGTGAAATTAAGGATACAATAGATGGATCCTTCGCTGCATTGCGTACCCCTAAATCAATGCGCACCAGTGACGACAGGATCTTTTTCTTTTTTTTTGAGAAATTGCCTAATTACACTTTTAAATGTAAATGGTAAATGGTAAATGGACTGCATTTATATAGCGCTTTCACAGACCCAATGGCCACCAAAGCGCTTTACAATTTGCCTCACATTCACCCATTCACTCACTCATTCATACACCGACGGGCGGGTCGTATCGACGGGTAAGTATTGGGTTTCAAATTACTTATAAGTTCGGAGCTTTAGAATAAACTTTTATTTTAAACCAGAAAAAAGTGTCTTGTTACCCGTTTAGCTTAAAGGAGAATTCCGGCGCAAAATGAACCTAGGGGTTATGGGTACTGAGTCGACTGTTCTCTGGGATGTTTTTCCATGCTAATCGAATGTACCCAGTTTTAGCGAAGTGTACTGTCTTTATATCTTCTTATTAAACTGTCTATACACATACAAAGTTCTCAATGCTTCGGTTTGCATGTAAGGACACTCATTATGCTACCGTGTTAGTGTGGGGCTATTTTGAGCCTTGTTAGCAATTTCTTTTTACTTACTCTATGCCCTATATACTAGCGTTATAAGCTAATCAGTGGTTTGAGCTAAAACATACTAAATTAATTACCTTTAATTGACAAAAGTGATGTCCAATAGATTACTGTCGACTCAGTACCCATAACCCCTAGGTTCATTTTGCGCCGGAATTCTCCTTTAAGCTAAACGGGTAACAAGACACTTTTTTCTGGTTTAAAATAAAAGTTTATTCTAAAGCTCCGAACTTATAAGTAATTTGAAACCCAATACTTACCCGTCGATACGACCCGCCCGTCGGTGTATGAATGAGTGAGTGAATGGGTGAATGTGAGGCAAATTGTAAGGCGCTTTGGTGGCCATTGGGTCTGTGAAAGCGCTATATAAATGCAGTCCATTTACCATTTACCATTTACATTTAAAAGTGTAATTAGGCAATTTCTCAAAAAAAAGAGAAAAAGATCCTGTCGTCACTGGTGCGCAATGATTTAGGGGTACGCAAAGCAGCGAAGGATCCATCTATTGTATCCTTAATTTCACAGTATCACATCAACCTAGGGTCTAATAACACATGGGTACCGAGTCGACTGTTCTCTGGGATGTGTTGTCATGCTAATCGAATGTACCCAGTTTTAGCTCAAACCACTGATTAGCTTATAACGCTAGTATATAGGGCATAGAGTAAGTAAAAAGAAATTGCTAACAAGGCTCAAAATAGCCCCACACTAACACGGTAGCATAATGAGTGTCCCTACATGCAAACCGAAGCATTGAGAACTTTGTATGTGTATAGACAGTTTAATAAGAAGATATAAAGACAGTACACTTCGCTAAAACTGGGTACATTCGATTAGCATGACAACACATCCCAGAGAACAGTCGACTCGGTACCCATGTGTTATTAGACCCTAGGTTCATTTTGCGGCGGAATTCTCCCCTTAACAGGTAAATTAAAAAAAGATATATATATATTTAATTTTAAATTAATATCTATATTTAATTTCCCATATTTGCTTGCAGAACATTATATATGTTATAGTCTATATACTTTACAGTAAGGGCATACTAAATTAATTACCTTTAATTGACAAAAGTGATGTCCAATAAATTACTGCTGGTCATTTTCTTTTTTATTAACAATTTTAGTGAAAAGTATGTTTAAAATGATTTTTTATTTTTTTAGAGAATGTATACTTTTTCATACTACGGCGTTTCCTATAAAGCAGGTGCAGATATAATGGTGAAATACAGTTTTAAAAAGTAATATATTAATAACCACCATAAAGAACACTAAAGAAATTAAATTGCATGAAAACTAGATGATTTGTATATCTAATATGTATATGGTATGGTTGAAAAACTAAAATTATTTAGTCTTCATATCAGTGTCAGTTTCATAATTAAGATGTTAAAACATATTTGAACGCATCGTTTAGTCGTACATGGCTTAAGATCCTGGACAAAAACACATAATAGTGCAAGCCAGGGGAAACAATACGTTGACAAAAAATACATATATATTATCCCTTTCTTTTTGTACATTTTGTTACAAACTTAATGGTAGCGTACATAATTTTTGAGCAAATTCAAACCAAGTGAAGTGTCAAATCATCACTTCATAAGTCATCGAGCAACACTGCACTGAACCAGGACACACGTTTATTCTTATAATAGATTAGCTCACTGCATTCATAATTCATAATTATTAAAAATAAAGTAATTGCCACAATGGCATACATTTACAAAGGCAATAATAAAGGACTTTTATTATCACAGAATTAGTATTTGTATCAACACGGGCCTACCATACATTTATTACTCCAGTAGACAAACACCACTTGGCGGTTCATAAATAATCTTGCTCAGATTTCATGGTGAATTTTGCTCTTCTCAATACAGTAGTGTTAAATAGATGAATAGCGGGATCCAGAAAGCAGGTGTTTGCCTTAAGGTCCCGTAAAGGAGCATGTTAAATCCTTCAGATCCAAAGTAAGATTCAGGGGAGTCAACCAAGAGGTGCTCACCCAAAGAAGGCGGCTGGATTCACACGTGCTGTTGACAGGCAATGAGGGTTTTTAATGGTATTCTTTGATGGCTCGGGTTTCTCTTTAAGGAACTGCTGGGTTGCTAAGACCAGTGGATCAGAGCAAGAGCACACATCTGAAATTCACACCACAAATACCTTCCATGTTCCCTTCTTAAAAGTAACCTAACCTTTAAAGACGTTCTTTCTATTTAGAATGAATAGAATTTAATAGAATTTTCACCTCTGCTAGTAATGCCTACTTTCACTTATTAAATTAAAAATGCTTTGTGTGGGTCTTGACATTACTCACCCGATGATCCATCAAGACATATACAGGACATCATTCTGCAAAAATTATAAAATATTATAATTATATTTTACCCTCACACTTGATATTAACCTTTTAGAGACAAAAAAGTTCTGTCATGCCAACTCTCTGAGTGTTTGGCATGGTAATGTGTATGACAATGTTAATGTGTTTGGTCTTGAGGGAAAAGATCTGCTACGCTGCTGTTATTGCTGATGCTGTAGATTATTGTTGCTGGACTTGCCAATACACACACGACACGCTGCTGTGAGCAAGTAAGACATGCTGCTGCTGTACAATATAACGTACATAAATGACCTGTGGCATATCTATGCAGGTGGAGCTGGGGAAGGGGGAGGGTTTCTGAAAGTGCACTGCACTGTTAAGGCAAATGCCAACCAAGTATTTGAAAGTTGAGTAAGCGATCTCATTGGCTACTGATACAGCAGGAACCAATCAGCTGTGCCTTTTAGAGAATGGTGTGATTGCAAGCCGATTGAGTTAAGGACCGATCAGCCTGTGCCATCTAGAGTTTCATGACAGAACTTTGTATTTATTCATTTAAAAAGGAAGGAATCTTACCTTGATGATAAAACAACAAGCAGCAGTTGGTTTAGAATTGGAGTTAGTTATATTAAATAAGAGTTTAGAAACAGTTCTGTGTGTAAAGTCAAAATTAAACCTTATTGCTACCCCTTTTACTTTCATAAAAAAAATGTTTGGTGGGACTTTATAAGATAAATACCAGTAAAACTGGTATCAGGTGGTTTGACGATGGAAAAATGTGAGGGCTTGGTCAACTGAAACTGAGGTGACGTTTACATTTAGTAAAGACAATTTTCTTTTTAACAACATTCACAGATGTTTCATTTGCATTAAGACATAGAAAGTCTTTTGTCTAATAAAAAGTCAAAAGTGTTTTGATTCCGTGTTAATTAAACAAATTTAAGATTACAGTGATAGAAAATTAAAGAAAAGAAAGCAGAGAGCAACAATTATTATAGTTAGGTTGTTTATTTAGAAAAGGTATGATTTTGGCAAACAGTCAATCTGTGGTATTTCTATGGACTATAAATTAAACTGTTCCTACAGAACCTTTAAGTAGTACATTTTATTTAGATCCAAGTCTGGAAATGATCATAGCGGATCACTCATAATCGTCTTCAAGATTCAGTTTCAAACATCTTCTTCCTGCCGCCCATACCAGCCTTATCCTCAATGTTCTTACGCCAGTCTCCAACATCACGCAGTTCTTTATCCTGTAAAATAAAGGGGGGTTTTCAGTGACCTGGAAGTTCACCTAAAAATGAAAATGTGCTCATCTTTTGTAGTCACCTCCTCTTTGACCTCCTTCTTGACTTGTTTCAGGTTGGCTCTCAGATCCATGGAGACCTTGTGCTTGGAGCCCAGAAGAGCCTGAAGCATAGCGTCAGCAGACATGCGCACTTTCTTCAAAGGAGGCTTCTTGAACTTGCCTTTCAGGTCAACGATCTTGATATTTAAGTCTTTGACCTAAAACACACAGATAATCTCACAGCTGACCACCTCGATGATGGCGCAGTGGATAAGACACATGCCTTTGGTGTGAGAGACCCGGGTTCAAATCCACTGTGAGACACCAATGTGTCCCTGAGCAAGACACTTAACCCCTAGTTGCTCCAGAGGCGTGCGACCTCTGACATATATAGCAATTGTAAGTCGCTTTGGATAAAAGCGTCAGCTAAATGAACAAATGTAAATGTAAGAAACTTCTTACCTCATTAACGACCATGATGGCTTTGTGCTCAAGAATATATCTCTCCTCATCAATAACATTGATTTTTTCATGTAACTCTTTGCAGAGCTCCTGTTGACAGAATAAAATTCACGCTAAAGCTTTGAACTTCCCAAAAACCTTCTAGAAGTAATGATAACCGGATTGGACCTGTAGTTCTTCTTTGGAGCTTGGACATGAAAACGGAGGACAATGTTCTTCCATGTATCTCTTCCTCTCCTCCTTCTTCTCGATGTTCTCTGCTTCTATTAAGTCTTTTGCAACCACGAGCATCAAGCTCTACAAGAAAATGTGATTAATTGAGAATCCCAGTATACTTAAAATTTTTAATGGTTGGTTTAAATTGTTGGTTTGGTTCAACTAATAAAACATGAGCTCTTACCTTCAGGCTGTGTTTTTTACTACTAGACATTCGTTTGCTAATAAAGAGGAGAAATAAGGACATATTTTACATTAGGATATTCACCTCTTGTGCTTTGTTTGCATGGACACAATATTTACCGTGCTTGCAAGGAAGCACAGCATTGATATTCCTCAAGCCATCTAATTACCGTTTGTTCTAAACCATAAACTATAAGTTCTTAAAATTTTGTGACTAATTCAGCAGCAAAACAGACCCCTTTTTAAACTTGTTTAGCCTTTTTCACCCATTCACACAGAATGCCTTATTTAATAGGCTTTATGCACAGCTGCACTACTTCCTGAACTTCAGCCAGCTCCTTGTTTCCTGTCTGACATTATTGGACAAACTGATTAATCCAGGTGTGCCTGACCAGTAAAAAATACCAGACACACCTGGGTTAATCAGTTTGTCCAATAATGTCAGACAGGAAACAAGGAGCTGGCTGAAGTTCAGGAAGTAGTGAAGCTCGGCATAAAGCCTATTGTTTCTCGAAACATGCATTAGACAGACATGTTTGACTGTTGCAATGAATCTTGCGGGTTTTTTTATGATGGCGTATCATGTTAAAATGTGTCCTACATTCTGATGCTGTGCTATGCCTCGCATAAAAATTATTAAGGCTGGAATCCACTAGATGACTTTTAAAATCTGAACAGATCTTAAAACACTAGGCATCATGCTGACTTTGTAAATGGTTACAGAGAAAAACTGGGTATTATATACTAAACGACTGAGAATTACACACTACCAGACTTTTAAGTCGTTCAAACTCACACTGAAACATGTTAGGAGATGCATGAAAATATGGGCCAGCTTCCGCCAATGCAAACCCTATTTTAAAACTACCATCAGGATTTACTAAAGACACGCAGTGAAAAATCTGCGAAAAAGACCACGTTATTACACAACAGGGTTATTTTTGAGGCTGACCTTATTGCATATGCCTTCATAGAAGTTTTCCTTTCAGACGCTGGGAGGAGAGTATTTAAAAGAATCACGCAAGGTGATTTACTAAAGTTTGCGCTAGTCAATCTACTAGTATTTGCGCCATTATTTAACGCCTAAACGCTCTTGGTAGAGTACGTTGGTCATTATGAAAATGATCCGGCTGCGCATCGTCAGTAGATCCAAGATCTTTCCACTCCCAACATACACTATGCGATTTTCTTTGAGATCTGTCAACTATGACTTCCCAATATATGTAGACTTTCATCAACAAGGACAGACTGCAAATCAAGCCAAAAATCTGTGCAAAAGTCACGTAGTGCGTTCCAGCCTTTAGTTTAGCCCCTTAGATTCTTTTTAAGAAATGTAAGATTAGAATTTGAAGAATTGTTAGCCAATTAGCCTTTTTTTTGTTTGCCATTCAAAACACAAAAATTTTGTTTTCTTTACTATAGCAGGTTTATCTTTTGCGTTCCTCAGAGAAACTTCCCCAGAGAAACTTTGCGTTTCCTGGCAAAGAACTCCACTGGTATATTCTTCAAAATAATGAATGGATTGTGTACTTACTCAGACATTTTGGAGAGTGTTCTTTACAACTTTCTGACAGGAAGAGAAAAGAGAAATGCATCAGAGGCCAAAAAATACACTTTACGCAAGTATGAGAACACAAATGTTTCTAGGTACACAAGCATCCTTTAGTTTCAACATTGCCACAAAGGGCTCTATAGCATGCATTAGTACAAACTGTCTTCTACTGTCATGGTGGAGCAGCAGTGATGAGAAATTTAAACTGTCGACAGCACTGATTAATTAAAGCATCACCCCCCACCAACACCAAGTATATCTGTCCAACAACTACAGGTTAAGGATTCAGTAAAGCCCAAGGCTCGTTTCTAGCAGAGTTTGAACCTACAACCTTCAGGTGGACATAATGGCACCAAATTCATAGACCGGGGCTCCTCAAATCCGGCCCTGGAGAGCCACTGCCCAGCAGAGTTGATCTCCAGCCTTAATCAAAGACACCTGAACAAGATAATCAATGTCTTCAGAGTTACAGGTCGTTGAGTTTGATCAGGGTTTGGTCTAAGCGGCCTTCCAGAGACGGATTTGAGAAACCCAGCCATAGACATTCTGATCATGTGAGCTTTTCTGCATTACCCTTAATGTCACCACATGGTCCCCCAAGCCTCTTTGACTCATCCGAGAGGATTTTCTCTAGGAGGTCACTGTAATATGATCTCAAGGCCAGTACATCAGCTGCAAACACAGCCCCATACTCAAGAGCATCTCTGGGATGTCAAAGATATGACAACACAGCTCTCCTTTATTCCCAGCTAAACAACTGTCTCAAATGTCTTTCTTAATATACTCCTCCTCTGAGGGACAGACGGGACTAACTGGCTAACCGATGACAAACTGATTTGACTTATTTAGTACACTCAAATGGACTCTTAATGCCTCAATGACATACTTAGAAAGCTGTGAAGACAACAGTCAGGTCGCATACGTCTATTTGAAGAAGGACTATTCTAAGTAGCCATAAGGTGAATGAGGACACATTTTGCAAAAGCATATGGCAGAATAGATCATGTAGTCTAAATGCCTTAGGTGTCTTCTTGTGTGAGGGTTTAGTAAAAGAGCAACTTAAGAACTCTTAAAAGTCAAGACTAATCAGTTCTCTGAAGAAATATATGCATATTCCAGAGCTTCCAGATGGTTAAGGCATTTCAAACCATTACACAATATTTATAAGAATAACTAGAAGGTCTTTTGAATCTGAAAGACAATGCTGTCTATTCACAAAGTTTATACGAAGACAGCATCGTAAATCAGTTGTTGTTAAGGAGGACCATACGAAAGTGTTGACAGGTGGAGTAAGACTTAAGGATCAGTATCAAATTTATGCTCATGTCGGTGTTCACTTTCAAATGGCAGTAAACTGACATCAGCAGGCAGTATATCAAACCTGACTTCCCCCTTCAGATCACCATTCAAAACGATTTCTCTTCTTTTTAGCATTGTGTTTCCAGAAGGAAAGACTTCAATTGAGACCAAAAAACAGAAACTTTACACGAGTTAAAATCGCCAATAATGATCATACAATGTTGTGACGACTATTTGAAGATATTTTTACAAATAACTCACAAATCAACTTGGTCTAAATCCACAATAGCTACAAAACCATCCAAACAACAGTACAACAAAGAATCTATACAGTACATATATGATCTTTACAGATGCCTTCTTAACATAGCAAATTAAAAAGAAGAACCAATCCCCATGACAACCTTTTCCATCACATCCATTATCAATCCCACAAACTACATTTTACAACTTCTAACAAATATCTACAAAAAAAATGATTACAAAGCTAAGACAATGAACCGAGGGAACTGCTCTCACCCTTCTTGAAGAACAGAGGAACGTCTTGGACAGATGGCTGTCAAACCAAGACACAGACAGCAGACATGCTAGGAAGATATATATTGCATTCTCTGATCTCTCTGCAAATCCATGGTTTCTCTTTATGGAAGTGGATTACCCACCAAACCAATGAGCTGACAAGGTCATGAAATACGGCACTATCCCTCCTTCGCTGCGCCTTCAGTATAAATATCCTGTCCTTCAAGATAGTTATTCTTTTATTCTAAGAATGACTTTCTCACAAAGCCCTATGTGATTCATAATCATTTATATCCATCCATCCATTGTTTCTATCTATCTATCTATCTATCTATCTATCTATATATATATATATATATATATATATATCCATCCATACATCCATAAATAAAGAATACATTTCATAATGTGAGTTACCTTATGTTTGTGTGTTCAGCATCGTCTGTGTTTCCGGACAGCTGCTTCTCACTGTTACCTGTTATATTTAATCATAATAAAAATATGTTATAACCTTTTATTTACTCATAAACCAATAATACAAACTGACAATAAATACTTACTTGTTCCACAGGTTGGTGAAGAAATAGTTTTTAAAAAACTGGTTACAAAGTGGTTTATGCATCAAAATGAACACAGAACATCATTCCTGCTTAAACTTGTTTTAATGATTGTGTAAGACATTGATACAAGGTTGAGAATGCACATTTCAGGTCCAATATTGAACAGAAAACTAAGTGATCACATTTACTTTCCCACAATAGCAAATGTAAATGAATGTGTTTAAAGTACAGTTTCTCACAAATTAAAGACAAGGCCCGTTATGTTTGAGCAGCACATTGAACTTCAAAAAAACTAAAACTTAAATTAAGCCTCAAAAAACTACAACTAAATTTAAGCCTCAGTTTCAAACATCTTCTTCCTGCCATCCATGCCAGACTTGTCTTCAATATTCTTACGCCAGTCTCCAACATCACGCAGTTCCTTATCCTAGTATGAGTAAAGAAAAATAAGATTTAGTCAGTGAGCCAATATACTTAGGATTTGAAATCAGCATCTTGGTTCTAAACTCTTTTAGACAAAGCAGTCACATGAACGCTCACCTCCTCTTTGACCTCCTTCTTGACTTGTTTCAGGTTGGCTCTCAGATCCAGGGACACCTTGTGTTTGGAGCCCAGAAGAGCCCCAAGCATCTGATCGGCAGACATGCGCACTTTCCTCAGCACGGGTTTCTTGAACTTGCCCTTCAGGTCAATAACTTTGATGTTCAGGTCCTCGATCTACAATCAGTCAGTGAGGGTTACCAATATAGAAACTACAAGATAAAACACAAATTGGATTGTAATATAATTTAGATGACATCTTACCTCCTTTGCACTCTTATTGACTTTCATTTCCAGGTCATATCTCTCCTCGTCAGTGACATCAATTTTGTGGTGAAGCTCCTTGCACAATTCCTATAAACAATGAGGTCAAAGAGTATTTGATTTATTTTATCCACTTACATTATATGTCCTCTAAGGTGTCAAGCACATATTTATTTTATTATTTATGGGAACTTATTATATTATACCTGTAATGCCTGCATGGATCCAGGTAGAGACAGAGGCTGGCAGGTTTCTGACATGTATCTCTGCCTCTCCACCTCTATGTCCTTTACTTCCTGTTCCAGTAAACCTTTAGCGATAGCAAGCATCAAGCTCTGGGACACAGAGAGGCGGGGTGTCATTATTAATCATGAATGGTCGATGAAAAATAGGTTTTATTTTAAATCATACTGTACCTTTAGATGATGCTTGCGACTCGAGGACATCTTTTTCCTGAGGTGTTTTGAAAATTTGAGATCAATCAAATACATTGTGTAAAGCAATAACTAATAACCACAAGACACTTTTTTAATACTATTATTTTATATTCAACGAACACAAACATACAAATATACCACCACAGCAAACAATTTCTGTTAGTTGAGGAAGATTATGATTATCTAAAAAGGGGAATTCAAAATATTTACTTACTCCGACATCTTGACTGAATTTTACTTTTTGCCCCCTGCGAAATAATACACAATTTACAATTAATGCAAAGCATTGGTCAAATTACAGCAATTAAAGTAATAATTAATATATATTTTATCAGCAAGGGAAAAGGACTTAAGCTTGTATGGTTTAATAGTAATAAAAAAAAATCATGTATGCACATTTTATTCTTTTCTCAACATTTATTCAATTATTGATTCATTCAGTTTAATAAGATTGTTTAATATAATATAATAACTATTTGGGAATAGTAATAATCTATTAGCTGTAATAATCGCACGGTGCAGAAAATGCAATAAAAAAGTCTTAATTTGGAAAACAGCATGATAACTCAGGAACAAAACTCATAGGACACTAGCACTTCAACACACATGACATGGGACAATGAACACAGGTCACTAAGGGTTTAAATACACAGACAGAGTGTGGCAAGAGAGCCGTGGGAATGGAGCGAGGCCGGTGGCGCTATTACTAGTGAGCATCACATGCGTGCCACATCAGCCTCATGTCTCGAGGAGGAGCTCCCGATAGGACCGAGGACCAGGCCTGGAATTTGTGTTGTGTTTTTTATGTTTATATGCGGCAGTCGTCCGAGAGGGACAGCAGCTTTACTTTTGTTTTTTTGTTTGTTTGTTTGTTTTACTATTCAATGATTACGTTGATCGTTCACCGGTTCCCGCCTCCTTCTTCCCTAATCAACGAACCTTGTTACACAGAGGAATCAACAGAACTAAGGCTGTGTGTCCACCAAAGCATTTTTCCCGAGACAACCGTATTTTTCCAATTGTTTTCAATGGGAGCACCGCACTTTTAAAACGAGGTGCTGAGCATCTATTTCACCCTGAGAACTGAGCGATCTACGTTTTTGCCAGTCACCGAGATTTCAACAATGTTTAAGTTTGGGTAAAACGCAGTGCTGAACGCAGATGTCACTTTTTACCCAGCCGTCCAATCACAGTGGAGGAGGGGCAGGACAAATACCACACAACCAACCGTCACATTCTGCGTGTATAACAATAACAAACGACAAAAACAAGCACATCTCTTTATCCAAATCAAGTGCCAGAGCAAGTATTTTACATTGTGTCGACATTTTTATATTCAGAAACAAACTATTTGCGAAATCAGATACTAGTTACAGTTCCACAGATATTCAATATCATAGCACATACTGTAACATCTAAATTGAAAAAAAAATGTTGCACCACCGAAACATTCTCAAGCACTCGCAGCAAGGCATTTTAAGAAGAACACTGGTGAACGCTTCGGTGGACACAAGGCCTAAGAACAGGTGAGGAACTAATGATTAGCTATGGAAACTAATAATGACCAGGAACACAAAACAGGAATGAAACCAAAACACAATGAAATTAAACAGCCCCTGACATTACACCCCCCACCCCCGAACAGGGCCAGCACAAACCAAGCGTCCCGCACAAGCCCTGAAAAGAAGCCAAAGCATCTTGATCGCCCCCGGTGACTGGTCCTAGTAGTCCAGCTGTGATTGACAGGTTCTCTGAGCGAAGTAGTCACTGAAGCACCAACGGACTTTTTTCCGGGATCTCCGGAGGACTGAGGAGATTGGAGCTTTAAATTGAATATCTATAGTTCTATAATTAATTATTTCACACCGTCATAATGGGTTGTTCTCAAATATATGTTATGGGCCAGCTAGCTAAGACAACAAGCCTCGTAAAAAGCAGGTGATCGTTAGCTAGTAGAAGTTACTAATTATTTTTATTTTATAAATTAATATGGTTAAAAATTATGTAGTATAACCTATCATCTAAAGCAAAGGTTGTACTGTACTTGGTCTTAATTGAACTTGGTTTAAAAATTCAGTACGTTAGCGTTACTGATATGTTTCCAGTGACATTGAGTTCATATTACGTTAGTGATATTGCTGTTATAAATATTGTTATTGCCGCTCGAGAAACGTTTATGTATATTTAAAATACAAATCAATCCCAATTATGTTCTGAATGAACAGAATAAACATAAGATTAGAGATAACAGTATTCATAAAATCATAAACATTAAAATAAATTTAAATACACCAGAATTAGCAAAAAAAATCTACTTTTTATTATCAGTCCCTTTTTCAGATGCAATTGCTTTTAATGATTAGATGTAAGGTGATAAAATCCTTTTTTTTTTGTATTGCATGTGTTACATAAATACACTTTAAACATATTTATTATTCTGCTTACTGCTGTGTACTTATGTCTTTACGTTTACTAACCTAATTGTACTTTACTTGAATAAACCTTAACCTTAAAAATCATTCTTATATATTTACAAATGATCAATTCTTGGATTGTCCATTTCTCAAGGCAGCTAATTAAAGCTGCAGTCCGTATCTTTTCCTCTTTGTCGCCATCTCTCTGTTCGAAATCTGTAACTGCAGTGATTCGCGGAATTATCATCTTTACGTGGGTTGTAAATCGGCATGAAACAGCGCGGATGAACACAGTGCTTTGAGGCGAGTGCTGCTGTCAGTCACAGCGCTGTGTGGATACTGTCATACAGAATCACAGATTCACTTTTTGAAAGTTTGACCAACATAAGAATTTTCATAAGAAAATGTCTTCTGAACAAGTAAGTAAAATCCATTTTTGTTCTGACCAACTAAGGGGGAAAAAGCATTCGACATGATAAGCTTCGTTAGATTTAATCAACGCGATTTACAGCAACCGTGCAAATTATAGCCTACTTTGTTCTCAAATTGTTCATGTTAACAACATCACATCAGCATTGCGTGACTAATGTTAAATTTAATGTGTTTTATGGTTACCTGTGTAGTTCAGAATTCATATTCTCCATAATAGCAAAACGAGAAAGGCACAACAAAGGAAACTCCATAACTGTGTGAATTAAGAAAACGTACTGTTACACGATTGAACTATTGAAATATCTTACTTGTTCAGCAGAAAAAAGCCGTCTCTTCTTCCGTTTTGAACCCCTTCAAAACACGGAGTTCACGCACTTTTCAAAAGCCCCGCCGATGTTTAAATCCTTGTGTTCGCATGAGACGGTTTCTTTCTCTTTCTCTAGCCACCTTAAGTCCGAAGTACGAAGTCTTTTGGGTTTTAGAACTGCTGAATCTCCAGTTGACACTGATGATTGTTGTTTGGATCTTTCTGGATGCCATAAGTTTAATCATGTAAAGTGCTGCGAGAAAAGCCTATACATCTAAACATCTCGTCACGCGCAGTATAGCCGAAGGAGCCGAAACTCCTTCTTTATGTGTACGGGTGTGACGTCATGAAGCAAAGACATGCTCGAATTTCCCGCGGAAACCCACCAGTACCACTGGAATTAAAATCATTATTACAAGCTAACCGTTTTGAATCTAGCTATGGCAAGCAGATAGTTTTGACCACTGGCAGAATAAGTTTTTAAAAAAATAATTATTTTGGATTATTTTTAACTTAAAAAAGTTACGGACTGGAGCTTTAAAACATTAGTAAAAATAATTACACATATTTTCGCAGTTTTCCTTTAGGTAAGCATAAAGCAGTAAGACTTAAACAATGGTTGGTCAACATGAGAGGGAAGGACTGAAAAAGTGCAGGGGCGTGTGCTTGCGATTGATTCTGCGAGAGTGAGGGCGGGGCCTTGATTTCGAAGCAAGCAAGTCTTAAACCAGATGCTAACAGGTTGGTCATGATGGAAACGATCCGGCTGCGTATGTGTTCTTTAATTTGCGAGTCGTCAGTAGATCACGCGTAGACCTTTCCACTCCTAGCATTTTTTTTTTAATTGTGCTCTCATGCTAATTTGCCCTGTTTAGTAATTTGGCCCTAAGTGAGGAGGGAAGGTAGAGGCTCTGGAAGCAGAAAACAGTCCAGGAAACAGGAGGAGATAATGGCGGGAGAAACTAGGGAAGTGATGACGGCAGGAGGAGCCAGGAAGGAGACGAGAACAGGAAGAGCCAGGTAGAGACCCAGAGCACAGCCAGGATGAAGGCCCATGGCGGAGTTGAGGGAAGGAAGAGCCATGGTGAATACTTGGCAGGCGGACCCAGGGGGAAGACAGACTGAAAAGGAACCTATGGAAGTGGAGACCCAGGCGGAGCCGAAAAGCCGATGAGACTAAGCAACACTGATGGATTTGGAGGCAGAGGCGGAGCCGCAGCGATGAGTGTCCGAGGACTGAGTCAGAGCCTATGGGACCGAGGACCAAGGTGGAGCCAGAGGGAAGGTGGAGCCTGACGGACCCGAAGGTGTGGAGGGACGAAGTGTAGCTGAAGGCCGTGGCGCAGGCAGAGGGACGACAGCCCCAGGTGGAGCCGAGGGAGGCAGGAGCTAAGGTGGAGCCGACTGGTCGACTAGCTGAAGTGGAATGACGGGCTCGGCGGCTGGAGGCAGAGCCAGGGGATCCCCTTGCCAAGACGAAGCTAGAGACCTGAAGACCCAAGGCAGATCCACAAAGCAGAGTGAAGTCAACAGAAGGGGAGCCGGGAGACAAAAGGGAGCCTGAAGAGGCAGGGCCGGAGGACTGGCTTTCTTGGATCGCTCACTGAGGCTGGTGTAATAGAAAATGCAAAGCGAGTAGTGGTTGAGCCACGCCAGGTCTAAAACTGTCCTTGTGTGGTCCTCAAGGCTATGCTCTTCCTGCTCTAAACAGAGCAGGTAGACTTCTGGTATTTATAGAAGGTACTTCTGCATTTATAGAAACACCGTAAAAAATAATCTCATCTTTCGATTCCTTATTCTGTAACGATTTTGGTGGCTGTAATAATCATATGACACAGGAAATGCAATAAAGGGTTTACTTGGAAAACACGCAGGAGTATACAGGAACAAAACTCATAAGACAACCACTTCAACACAAAAAAACACGGAACAATGAACAGAGGAAACTAAGGGTTTAAATACACTGACAGATTAATCAACAGAACTAAGAACAGGTGAGGAACTAATGAGTAACTATGGAAACTAATAATCACCAGGAACACAGACGAAACGAAACCAAAACACAGTGAAACTAAGCAGACCTAAACATAACCCT